AAGGAAGGAAGGAAGGAAGGAAGGAAGGAAAGAAAGAAAGAAAGAAAGAAAGAAAGAAAGAAAGAAAGAAAGAAAGAAAGAAAGAAAGAAAAAAAGATACTGTGATGGATTCACGTGATATTTAGAAAGGCAACAACATTTCAATAGAAGGACTGACCGGAAATTCGGATGTGATAAAAGTGTCACAGCGACCTCCAAAGATGGGATCGGTTAAGATGCAGTCAATCCCGTAAGCAATGCCACCGTCAAATTCTAATTGCCTTTGTATGATCTTGCACTTCCTTTCATTAAGGAACAATTCACCCTAAAAAAGAGATATAAATTCATGATCATATTAAGAAGAAAATATTAATATGACAGGATTAGGGAAAAAAGGAAAAAGTAGATTAATCTAGGCAACCTGGTACCTTTCATATGTTTGGGACAAAACTCCCATAATGCTAGCCAGCATCACTTATGGTCAGAGATCATATGTAGTTACATACTTACCCATCACACAATTCTGTTTTGGTGTAAGCAACGTTATGCAAAGCACAGAAAAAGAATAAGAAATAGTAAGCATAAGAAACCAAAGGCATGAGATAATAGAAAAAGAAAGGAAATATAGATAAATCTAATTTACACCAAGACCATTCTGTATACCACACAACACATTTCTGACCTTGCAAATCATTCTGGTTTCTACCACATTCTTCACCATTTCATACATTGCCTTTTGTTATTTAGGTTTCTCAATTCAGCTCATTTTAGTAAAACTATCAAGGTACACAAATTCATCTACTTGCTCTAGTTGTTTGCCACTTATGCATAATTTGTACTTGTTCATTCCATCTTCCCTGTTAACCATCACATTAATTTTCATGCTTTTTGTTGTATGATGCAACCTATGAAACATTCACTGCAAATAATCCTAAACCAACAACACAGCATTGTCTGCATATAAACGTACATATATATTAACATAACAAAAACATACACTCTAATATCACAAGCATAAGGAATTATACTGTACACATATCCATAAATACTGTACATGCATCCTTGTCTTACCCATTGCTTCAAGCTGAACCATTCTCTACATGACTCTGTTGAGTCCTGCAACACCACAACCTGTTGTATTTGCAAGCCATTGGAAGCTGTTCCAACTGAAGATACATTTCCTGTATGTTTATTTCACAGTGTAGTTTGCGTATCACTTTCCAGAGTTTTCAGGACCTTGATAGAAGGCACAGGGTGGGAATCAGCCTTCCCAATCGCAAAAAACAGAACACGCATTTGCATGCACATTCTTCTCAGTGCAGAGTTGTGTGAGAGAGGGAAAAAAACCCTTCATTTCCAATGTTTGCAAAGCAGCCAGAGCTTTTGGTTACTTGCAAAATTCTGTCACTGAACTGCAAAAGGCTGTGTGCAAATGCTGAGACAGTGGTGAGTTGCTAGTCCAGATATTGTCCTCATCTTGTAAATTCCATGGTGTTTTTTTGGGCTGTGACTCAGAGGGCTGGTAGGAGTTCTACTTTTTTTTGAAGGGTAAATTCCAGATATTGTGGTTGAGAGATTTTAGTTCCTCTTCTTGGATTTAGTCCTTTGAAGTTCCATAGGTTTGATTTTTGTCCCCATGATTTTGTGTCTCCCATGTATGTAAATGCTTGGAGAGATTAGTTGAAATCTAGTGTTGGAAAAATATTATTTTACACCCTAACTGCCAGAGGTAAGACTTTATAGAGTCCTAAGAAGTTTGATCAAAGTGTGTGGTCCTTATTTCTTCCTCCATGCTGCTACATGTAGAATGAAAATACCTGATGGTCCTTTGTACTTATTGGAAACTGGTTAATTTATTTATGATGCTGCAAGATGATTAGCATGGTAAAAAATTATGGATCAGCTTATTAAAAGCAAGAAATACTCACAGTATTGGTTTCATCATCACCACATTTCACACTAAGATCTGAACCTTGAAGTGTCTTCAGTGAATCTGAGCTAGGGAGGGCATACGCTAAAATCTGTGGAAGATACAGGGTAAAGGTGGAGAAAATTCAACTTTAGAATAGAAAAATTCTGTTGTTTTTATTTTATAAAGGATCCAGAAATTGTGAACTTAGAACTCCTACCTTAGCACTCCCAATAATATGGAATTTCAAGTACTGTAGCAGTTTCTCTTTGTTTGACATTTTAAATAGTTCATCTTGCTGTTCCTTTGGCAGAGCTCTGATCACTTTGTCGGTGGGCCAGAACAAAGTGACTGGTTGATGAAGAGGATCAGTAATAAGATTTATCAGTCCTGAACTCTAAATAGGACAGAAGAGAATCTGATTTTCTTTCTCAGTACAATATTGGATGTAATCTATCAAGCAAACAGTGGGGAGAATGAATAGGGTCTTTTCATTTGGCATCTACAGTCTACTCAGGCATATCTACCATACAGACTACCAATTAATGATTTAAGTAGAGTTATGAGTTTGAACTCTAAGTCAACCAAGTAGACTTACTTCTATCAAGTTGTAGAACATGATGTACCCATTTTTTGCTGCAATAATTTTGAGGTTTTCCTAGGAAGAAGAGAAATACTGGCTAAGTTTGCCAATTTAGAAAATAGAACCTCAACTTATTTTCAGAAATATTGATTGTTGACACACTATGAATAAAATGCAGTGCTGCTTTCAGAAACATATCTCAAAGTCCACCTCAGGAAATATCTTTGGTTGCAGTTGCTCTACTTCTTAGTCTAGTATCTTACCAGAAGTGGGAAACGGGAACAGATGCTTATATAGATTTCCAAGAGGGAGAATGGAATATGCATATTGTACTACTTGCTTTAAGGATAATATATAGAATCAGTTCTAACACATAGCACTAACTGGTGAAGTGGACTGCATCTCAGTGAAAACAGGAATATATTTTGGAAGCCAAGAGGCTGTGAAGACATATCTTTTTCTATCAGCATCAAACTGTTCTTGATTTTATGTGAAGCTTCTGCACTGCCTATTAACCTTTACAGTTTATGTTACCTCTATCATGCTAAAATAGTGGTTGTCAGGGACTGACAATGGAGAAAGATTCTCACTCTCATGATATGTGAGATTCCATTATGCCACTGAGATCCAAAATGCTAGAGGAAGAGATATTGGCCTGATCCAGGGGGGTGTTTTTCTTTCTTAACCCACAAATTCAGTAGTTAGTTCATAGTTAGGATACAACAATCTATGGGGTTTAGTATCCACAATTTTTTTTTTTTGTGACTGCATGCGTTAAACAAACTGTAAATATAAATGTCTATACTATACACAAACTATAAATGTCTTTGTTACTGGACATCCTGGTTCAAAACCTGGATTACCTGAAGTCTCTTTCAAGGTGCATGACTCTTACTAGCCAGTCTTTTGCTGGTAAGCAGTGTGCATATATTTTGTGTGAAAAAATCAGTATTTAGGAAAAGCTAAGTGTGATAAACAACACATACATCTCTGTGTGTGTGTGTGTAAGCAGCATATACATGTCTGTGTCCTATATGGTTGCTTTTATCACAAAAGGATACCTGCAACAATGATAACTTATCAGTCTTTTAGTGAGGAAGCTCTTTTTTAAATTCATTATCCCTGACACATTATGTAATTAACATTTTAATCCTATTTTAACAGGTTCATCAGTTAGCAGCAAACAACATTGTACTTAGCAGCAAACAACATTGTTATTCATAACCCAGCGGCTTTTAATTAGTTGATAATTTCAATGCATATTTGAGTGCACCTTTACAGGTTTTGATTGTCCAGGAGGAAACTCTTGAATCTTCTGTGGAACCAGGACCTTGTCTATGATATGGATTACTCCATTTGTGGTGATTAGATCACTGGCTAATATCTTCGCTTTGCCATTCAAAAGCACTGTGTTCTGAAAACATCAAAATGTACAATACAAAGTCACAGAGCAATTCCACAATCCTGAAATAAAGCCAGGTGATTAAGCAGTCAAAGGGAGAAACCCCTTTTCCTTTCTGTACCACTTGCCATGCTGCTCAGCATGCTTGCAAAAAGGAAAGGGCAAGTGAACATAGCATTACAAGCATAGGAGTTCAAATACTGTAAAGGATTACATGTTTGAGTAATGTTGCGGTATTGAATGGGTCTTTGATGTAGCCCGTAGCCTCATCATTCAATTTAAATGCACAGGAGCTATTCTTGCATCTAAAGTGTAAACACTGATTGAAGGTACAAGCTCTAACAAGAGATCTGTGAATTATGACCCCTCAGAAGAGGCAACTTAACATCATATTCATTCAGGGAAGTGTCTTCATCCAAGAAATATGATATTCCCAAAGCCAATGTAAGAGAGTGGAGTGGTGGTCCAGCATTTTAATATTAGAATTATAGGGACTCAGGTATTTCAGAAGACTTAGCAGATCAAAAGCTGTAGAATTCTATCCAGGAAGGATCCAGATGCTTTTCCCTTTCAAAGCTTTCATAATATTTCTGTGAGAATCTGCAAGCAGTGAACCATAATTTCTGGATTCTCATTTTACATGTGATAATTTCAGTTGTCGCTAACAGCATTGCATCTCTTTTCTGGGATGACCAATGAAGACATAGTTATACACCCGGTCGATGAGAGATGGTTACCTGTACAAATGTGACCTTGAGCGGATCTCCTTGGAGAGTGATGACAGTTTTATCTGAAGTCAGGTCATTATACAGCAGTCCTGTACAGGATATAATATGATAACGAAGAATCTGGGGCATCACACCTTTGGAAACCCAATTGGATATCTTGAAAAATAATTTTTTTGAAAATGATATATTAAAGTGGGGGAAAGCAAAGAATGAACAATTATATTTTAGATTTGCCATTATATTATTGGGAACCAAGCTGTCATAGATTTTTCCAAAGTGATTCTAAATGAGAGACCAGGATCTCACACAAGAGAATCCTGCAATGTGTTCCTGTTTAATTGGAAGACAATCAATTTCACTGATCAGGCTTTACTTCATAGAAACAGGCTGGAGAATTTATGACCTCCATACCCTGCTGGATTGTAACTCCCAGGGTCTCATTATTCTCCATGCTGGGGATGGGAGGGGTGCTGCTGTCAGTTATAATACAACCTGGGTGGCATATAAATTGTAATTGTAATAACAACAACAACAACGACGACAGCAACAGACAGCAAATGCTGCCTCTGCAAAGAAGCTGAAGAAACA